GAGCTACTATAACAAAATACCACAGACTGGGTAACTTAAACAAAAAAACTTGTTTCTTACAGTTCAGGAGGCTAGTGTTCAAGATTAAGGTGGCAGCAGGTTTGGTTTCTCCTCTCTCCTTGGCTTGCAGATGGCTGTGTTCTCACTACATCATCCTCAGTAGCCTTTCTTTGTGAACACATCCTTGCTGTTTCTCTGTCCCACTCTCCTCTTATAATAAGAACACCAATCATGTTGGATTAGGGCCCACACTAATGGTCTTATTTAACCTAAGGATCTCTTGAAAGGGCCCACTCAAAATACAGTCACATTCTGAGGTACTGAAAACTCAGGGTATCCAGGGAACAAATATTTTCTCTGATAAGTGGATGCTAATCCATAATGGGGGAGAGTGTGGGATGAGGGGAGGAACTTTGGATAGGGCAATGGGGAGGGGATAGGGGCAAGTGGGTAGGAAAGATGGTGGAATGAGAAGGACATTATTACCCTAGGCACATGTATGTTTGCACAAATGGTACAACTCCACTTCATGTACAACCAGAGAAGTGAAAACTTCTGCTCCATCTGGGTACGATGAATTGAAGAGTGTTCTATTTTCATGCATAACTAATTAGAACTAATTTTTAAAAAAGAAAAAGAAAAGTCAGGGTTTCAATATATAAACTTTGAATGATTGTGTAAGGGAGTTTCTTATACTACACTCTTTGCTTTTATGTATTTATAAAAACGTCTATTAGAAATGACAGCATTCTGGGGGCTGGGGTTGTGGCTCAGTGGTACAGCGATCGCCTAGCACATGTGGGGTGTTGGGTTCAATCCTGAAGACCACATAAAAAAATAAAATAAAGGTATTGTGTCCAACTACAACTAAAAAAAATACAATATTTTAAAAAAAGAAATGACAGCATTCTAGGGGCTGCAGTTGTGGCTCAGTGGTAGATCACTTGCCTTGCAAGTGTGAGGCACTGGGCTGAATCATAGCACCACATAAAAACAAATTAAGGCATTGAGTCCATACACAACTAAAAACAATATATTTTTTTTAAAAAAGAAATGACAACATTCTAGAAGAGGACGTAAAAGCAGTCCTAACCCCAAAACATTGAAAAACAACATCTCCAATGAATAGGAAGACTCATCATTAGAAAGATATCCTTTACCCCTAAGAAAATTTACAATTGTAACATATCTTAACAAACATGCCAACATTCATTTCTTGGAACTTAACAAGGTTATAGGTATATAAGAAATAAACAAATAAGAATCAGCAGGAAAACTGTACAAGGAAGCAACAGGGTGGGGAACCATGTTGCTAGATATTAAAACATATTCAAAAGACTAAAAAATTAAAAGAGTATGATATTTGAGCATAAATGAAAGATAATATAAAGCCCCAAATAGACCCAACTCATATGGAAATTTAATACATGATAAAGGCTGCTTTCCATATTAATGGCAATAGAAATGTTCTTTCTAACCAATGATGTCAAGCACTCTACTGCTGAGGTATACCCTCAGCCCAAAGAATTAAGTTTCTTAAAAGCAAAACTATTTAAGTACTAAAAGAAAACCCTGAAGTGAAGAAAGGCTTTCTAACTATCAATCAAAATTTAGAGACCAAGAAAGAGGTATGGAGATTCCTCAAACAACTAGAAATGAAACCATATATGACCCAGTTATTCCAAAAGAATTAAAATAAAAAAAATTGATACTTCCACAATAAAGTTTATAGTCACATAATGCTGAGGGCCATTGCCAAGTAGGAATGACGCATCGAAATTTCCTTGCCAGCGTATCCCATGTTACTTAGAGGAAGGACTCGTGGAAATGGACTTGCCTTGGACATTCGCTGTGACATTGCATGTATGTTTGAGAAAGGTGACCCTGCTCAAGGACCAGGGTGGATCCAGGTTTAGGGTGTATCCTGCAGGTTTTAGGAAGTATCCTGCTCCTTGGGTTTAGGGCATTCCAGGTTTAGGACAATTTGGGTTTAGGGCGTTCCCGATTTAGGACAATCTGGGTTTAGGGCAGTTCCAGGTTTAAGGTTATTCCTGCTGGGAATAGGGCGTATCCTGCTGCCTGAGTTGGCAGTTGAGTTCTCCTGGAATTGAGAAGGTATTTGGGATTAAAAGCCTGGGGGAGTACGTGTATTTTGCAGCAGAACTTGGATTTCCCCAGAACGTGTGAGTTCGGGAATAAAGAATTGCTGTTTGAATCTACAAAGCTGTGAGTGGCTCATGATCTTGTGCCCAGCCAGACTGCGTGCGGCAACATAATTCATAATAACCAAGTTATGGAACCAGCCCAGATGCTCATCAATAGATGAATGGATTAAGGAAATGTTGTATGTATATAAAATGAAGTTTTACTTGGCCACAAAGAATGAGATTATGGCATTTGCTGGTGAATGGATGAAATGGAAAGCATCATGCTAAGTGAAATAAGCCAGAAGCAGAAAGTCAAGGGTCCACTGTTACCTTTTAAATATGGAAGATAGAGTAAAATAAGAAGGAAAAGGAAGGGTCAGACATCATAATGATATCAGGAAGATCAGTAGAGTAGAAGAAGGAGATTGAGAAAGAGAAGGAGTAGGAATGAGAAAGGGGAGGAAATGAAGAATGAATTTAACAAAATTATGCTGTGCATGAATAAATACACCACAATCAATCCCACCTTTATGTACATGTATAATGCAACAATCAAAACTAAATAAATAAAAGAGTGAAAGGAAGACCAATAAAAGAAGGAGAATAGCAGTAGGAAGGAGGGAAGAGAAAGCAGGGTAAGGTCGCGTAGTGTGCACTGGGGAATAAAATGAAACAAATTATATTCCATGCATGGATGATTATGTCAAAATAAACCTTAATGTGATGTTTAATGCACTAAGGAAAAAATTCAGAAGCCATTTTTAAATGATTGACAAATTTCATTACACAAAAATATAAAACTTCTCATGGGAAAAGTACGTACGTATATGAGTTTGCACACCCTGTAAGCAAACTCAAAAGACAAAGCAAATGAAAGGAAAATACTTATAATTCCTGTCCCTAATTTTAATTAATTAATTAATCAATTTTTTATTTATTTATAGCATATACCAGGCAAGGGGTCTACCACTGAGTCCTATCCCCATCCCCCACTAGAGACTCTTAAAAAATTAGGGAAGGTTTGGAGGTATCACTCAGTGGCAGAAGCCCTTGCCTAGCTTGTGGAAGGCCTTGGATTCCATTCCCAGCACTGCCAAAGAAGAAATAAAGATCCTAGAAATCAAGGAGAAAAGACAATAAACTAAAATTTTAAATGCATATGTGGATTATCATGAACAGATTGTTCACAAAAGAATTCCATAAATCCCTTAAACTTAAAAAGATGTTTAACTTCTCTTGTTATAGAAAACATTCTAATTTTAAAAAATACAGATTTTTTCTTATTAGTTTGTCAAAATATCTAAAATGTGACACTATGCTTAGTCAAGCATGTGGAGAAAACAGGTATTCCTCATATACTGCCATTAGGATCGCAAGGGCTACCATAAGATAGCACTGCATGCTGATTGTATGAATAGTGATTCACTCCCACCATCATGGAGGATAGAAGCTTAAGATCAAGGTGCTGGCAATAGTGATTTCTTCTGAGACCTTTCTCCATGGCTCATAGATGGCCATCTTCTCTTCCCTGTGTCTCCACATGTGGTTTTCACTATGTGTGTCTTTATTCTGATGCCTTCTTATTATGAAGACACCAGTCAGATTGGATTAGGGCCCACCCTTAACCACCTCATTTCAGTTTAATTATCTCTTAATTATCTCTTTAAAGACCCTATCTCCAAATCTCTAAATCCATTCTCATTTGGGATGGGGGTAAGGATTTCATCATATGAATTTTATCGGACATGATTCAACCTACATCAGTCCTTATGGAGAGAAATCTAAAAATAGCTAGCAAAATTCCCAATGCATTACACTTGACCAGTGACTCCACTTCTGGAAATCTGTTCTACAGATACACCTACACAGATGTGAAATGACATATATTTGGAGACTTTTATTTCAGCCTTGTTGAGGCTGAAATGTTAATTTCAGACTGATTGAGTAAATTATGGTTCATGTATATGATGCAAAATAATGTAGTTGTAAAAGGAAATGAGGAAGTTCCCCATGCACAGCTAAAGGGAGATCTCCATGATAGGGAGGATTTGGAGGTATTGCTCACTGGTAGAAGCCCTTGCCTAGCTTGTGGGAGGCCTTTTTTTATATATAAAAAACAGGAAGACACCAGTGTAATAGCCTGTTACCTAAATAGAATAAATGTATCCATATTTGCTAGTGCAGTGCTTGCACAAGAAAATACTGATGCCTAAGCAATGACAACAAAATAATGAAATTGGTTACTGATGTGGGTATAATGGAGACAAAAAGGAGGGGACAGGAGTAGAAGTTATATTTTCTGATATTCCTAGTTATATAGTTTCAAAATAATTAAAAGGGAGGATATTAGTTTTCATTTTCAAATTATGTAAACTTAAAATCATTAAAGGGCTATATATTAATATATGTATGTATGTGTATATATATATCTCCAGATATATATGTAGCTTTTCAGCCCATAAAATAGTACAATATAAGACTAACCATAATCCTTTTAACTTTTGAGAATGGCTATTCTCAGTTTACTAAAGCTTCTTCTAGGGTTTCCAAATTATGCTCTTGTGAAATAAAGAAAATTTCCAGGAGTAGGAAATGCTTTCCTTTCTCTTTGGTTTTCTTTGCAGAAAGGAACTGAGTTTTAAATCCAGTTGAGTTTGACATTGACCAAAAAAGAGGCTGCCCAGATGCTATTGATCCCCAGCACTCGGCAGCACAAACGCCCTTGGGCGTGCATCACTTCAAGCAAACAGAAGTGGGCCCCGCTGAAAATGGGGATGCCTGGCTGGGGGTGGGGGGACCCAAGTACACTGCATCCAGCTGAGAGTGAGATTCCTGGAGCAAGCCCCCTTCCTGTCACAGCACCCACAGCACTCTGAGCCTGCTCGCAGCCCAACGGCCTCTCCGAGGATGCTACATTTAAAAGTGCAGTTTTTGGATGATTCCCAGAAGATTTTTGTGGTTGATGTAAGTGGAAATCACATTGCTATTATTCCTTTATTATTCATTCAATAATGATCATTTGTGGACAGCCCATTAGCCGCCGATGTTATAGCTTCTTTAGGACTGAATGAAGGAGGACTGTGGGTTTTAGCTTGGGAAAAGGTATCTGTGTTTAATATCACAATGTAGCTCGTGTTTTCCCACTAAGCTTTCTTCTAGAACATGTTTTCTTTTCTCAAGGGACAATGAAAGTGGATTTTAAAGATATGCTAAATGTTTGTAAAAAAGCAAAGCAGCAATAACTTAGATCTTCTACCCAATAAGGAATTATTGTTCATTGGAATTATGTGCGTGAGTCTCACCCCCTGAGCATTATGTGAGGAAATAACTGTGGCTCTGAGGGAAATGAGAGGGGGAAAGCTGCCCTCCTTTTCTGAAGAAAACCTATGGGTTATTGGGTGTAGAATTATGCAGTTCTAATGAGAACCTCAGGAAGAAATGACAAGTATGAAAGAAAAATAGGATAAGAGATGATTTAGTTTGATTTAGTACTTATAGTTCAGAGTTCTTAATATAATTCCTAGCTACAAGATGATTGCATACAATTATACCTCATCTCTTCAAGAAAGAACAAATGTATTAAGCACATCATTGGGTGCTCATGTTCCAGCATCTTAAGATACGTACATTTTGATGTCAGGATTTATGTATGAGCATTTTGAAACGTTCTACATTTTTATCGGAAGCAAAAGCTGCTATTTGCTCTGATATTTATATTACCTACTAACAAGGAACAAATAGTTCATTTTCCTTGAAAGTCATACAAATTCTGACTGTTTTATGCATAAACTGACAACTACTGTAGCTCAGCAGTGGTGTTGGGTGTGTGAGTTGCCCATTTTTCAAATGAGTATTTCATTTTTATTTGGCTCATGGGCTTGGGGGGGTGATGAATTCATGGCTTCGGCTGCTGTTTTGTCATCTCTTCCTTTCAGTTTTATGTGCAAAAGGCATTTCTAGGTCCACGGACCTGAATGATTTGTTTTTGTAGCAAATAGCTTCCATTAGAGGTACAAGGCACTTCCTATTCTTTCTTGGAACTATATTGAAGGGGTGGAAAATGTCTTTTGAGTAGTTTATCCATTTGCAGGCTGGTGGTGGACACTTACAGTGCTCCAGTACCTGAATTAGTGAGCTGGGTATTCAAAAGACACTGCTTTAGGCTAAGTTTTTAATAGACATTTCAAGCAACTCAAAGAGAAATCTTTGACAAAAAGTGACAGAAGAGTTTTCTGAATGTGCAGTTTGAGTTCAGATCCAATTAGATGGGGAGTGGGGAGCACAGTGTGATAGCTTCATAAACTTCACCTTCTGAAGAGCCGATTCCAGCAACTTGAAGCCAGCATAAGTTGGCTTCAAGTCAAATTGTCTCTTTCCAGCTGCAACACATTGTGTTCCCTGGAAAGACAATGGGAGAGATTTGATACCCTGCAATTCGGGTGTCAAGCATCTGATCCCTTTTGCTCTGTGGAAGGCTGCTCAGTAAGTAGCAATCACAGTATTATGGAGAGTGGCAAAAGCCCTGGCTGCAGTCCTATGCGCAGCTTGTCCCTGAGGGGACAGAACCTTGAGTTAGCATGCAGTCATCCAACAGTGTCTTCTCTCCTTAACGTGATGTTGATGATGATAGTGATGATAATAGCATGGGTAGGGAGTGACTGGTGTGTAGCACTTTAAAATTTACAAAGCAATTTCTCATCCATTAGTTCATCTGATCCTCCATTGCCCTCTGTGAGTGAAGGTAAGAAAAAGATCTTTTCCCATTTTGTAAATTAAGACACAGAGGGGGGTGCTTCGGGGAGCTCTAGTGACTTGTGCAGGACCACATAGCATGTCAGTTCAGCACTGGGACTTCAATCCAGACATCTTCCCACTCCCCTGCATAATTGTATTCAGAAGACTCTAGGCCTGAATATTAATTGCTTGCATATTATTTATTTTCTATCGAACTCAAAGAGCATATAATTTGGCATACAGTGGACTTTTGATGACTGTTGTGAACTAATCAGTATATCCTTTCTTTATGCATGGATGGGGAACTATGTGGAAAAGTGGTTCCTAGAAGCCAGGGGGACCATGGCATGAACCTTTTCACTGATTCAAATGCCTCAAAAGCCACCTGAAAAATATCCTCTTTATTAGTACTACCATCCTAAATAGTATGGAGAAATGTTTAGAATAATAATGAGAACTCATCACTAGCTGAGAAAAGCCACATGGAGGGGCTTTTGGTGCCAAACTTAACTGACAGTCTCAAGAGGCATGGATCATCCCCAGGGATAATTTTCCTTCAAGATAAACTTCAAGAAAATAATTGGTTGCATGAGGAAAATAAAAGACTCTTGTTCATTCGTGTTGATTTTATAAAAAGTACAGTGGTAGAAATACAACAAGGACATGTGATCAGACAGAATTATGCCACCAGTGGAGGCTATTTCACACCAGAGACCTTTATCTAATCCCCCATGGCATTATCTTGGTGGATTTGCCATTGTCCAAGATCTGGCTCAGTCCTACATATAAGTCTGATTTATCAGCACTCTACAAACTGAAGTCAGAGGCGGACTGTGAGTCAGAATGCCAGTGTCTCTCTTTATAGTGGGGTCAGGGACACTGGAGTCTTCTCATTATATTACACAGGAGACAAAATGATGTCAGAAGGGTCCAATCTGAGAAATTAGATATATGATGCCATATTCAATAGCTTGATAATGTCTTCATCTCCACAAGAGCCCTGTCATTGAGAACTTTTATTCACTTGTGCTTTAATTTAGTCATTTATTTAACAAATTATTATTAATAACTTAACATATTCAAAGCACTGTTATGCACACAATTGGCTTTACAATATGAGTAAATAAAGTTCTTAAGCAAGGACATGCTCTGGTTTGGAAAGTGATAACTGATAACTACCAATTTGGCTTCAGGGATTCATTTTTCTCTCAGTGCATGATTGGGGTGTGTGTGTGTGTGTGTGTGTGTGTGTGAGAGAGAGAGAGAGAGAGAGAGAGAGAGAGAGAGAGAGAGAGAGGTTTCTATTCTGTCTTTAACCTGTTATTACCATTAGTTAATTACTAGAAAGAGTGACTGGCTCTAGAGGCATCCTGTTTATTTGAAGCTTCTTTGCATATTTGTGCTCTGGGTACTGTGTGTTGATTTTATAGATGAACTCTAAAAACATTAGTGAACCTTTTGCTTTATGAATTTTCAAGAGCATTTGAAGATATGAGGATTTAAATTTGCTGAAATGTGCTAACTGAAGTATTGTCCAATGAAGAAAATGGCTTTAGTGAAAATGTCATCTTGCTTTTTAAGTCCTCATATTTGTTTCATAAATCTGATCATTGTTAAATATCAGCATTTTTCTTAGTGTTGCTCTTATCATGGATACTGTTACATCCTCAAACAATCAAGGAGAGCCTTCTAAAGGATGATGTGAGTGGGTGGGCAAGAAAATAAGTAGAATAAAATTATAATTTAAAAATTGCCAGGCATGGTGGCACATGCCCGTAATCCCAGTGGTTCAGGAAGCTGAGCAGGAGGATCGAAAGTTCAAAGCCAGCCTCAGCAACTTAGTGAGGCCCTAAGCAACTTAATGAGACCCTGTGTCCAAATAAAAAATAAAAATGCTGGGGATGTGGCTCACTGGTTAAGCACCCTTGGGTTCAATCCCTGGTACCAAAAAAAAAAAAATCAATTGCAGGTTTTAGTGTAAATCCAGTTTTGCTTCTTCAACATGGGGACTAGAATTTTCTTGAAAGAAAAAGAGAAGATAAGCCCCAAGCAAGCGAAGGTTTTAGCTTGGCAGTGAGTCCCTCCAATTCACACCTACACACACCACATAAACCAGTAGTAGTGACTGTGAAGTCAGAGAGGAACCTCATTTTAAGCCAGAATTATTTGCTCATCTCAGGTTTAGAGCCTAAATCAAAATAAGAGATGGAAATATCTCTACTTAATATCTCTACCTAATTGCTCATTGATCGTGCTGGCCACACTGTGGTTATTCGGTGAGGGAATATAGTGAGTCAGCTCACCTGATTTCCCTTCTAAGCCCACTTAAAGGCCACTACTTGTCATATGCTAAAAAGACAGAAAGGAGGCAGTGTCAGGAGTGGGCATTGTTCAGGCCAAATAAGAAAACAAAGAACTGACTAGTGATTTATTTTTTATCAGTGGTGGTATTATTTATCCTGGGGATGTTTGTCCAGGAGGTTTTCTTTATTCTTTTCAATTTACAATGATGAGGGATCTTTTGTAGCTTGTTCAATTCAATATTAGATAACCTTTTCCCCAACTTCATTGGGCTAAGTTCTTGCAACTCCAATGACAGGAACTGCTTTGGTGTAATAGAAAACACCTGGATTTGAGGCTGCCCAAACTGGACCCATTTAGCTGTGTAATCTTGGGCCAGTCCCTTATCCCCTTGAGCTCCCTGAATTGTTTTGAGGAATAATATAAATAAGATAATTTTTATCTGAAGCCTGATAAACCAGGGTAAATTTGACTCTGTCACTTATAAACTGTGGGGCCTTGGGGAGATTATCTGAGTCTTAGTTCTGTCAACTGTAAAAACCTAGACTTAAGGTATCAGGAAAAACTTCCCAAAGAATAAACCATTCTGAGTTGCTGAGTAGGAGCTAAGAAGGTGAAGAGTGGGAGCTAGATTGTTGGGGGAAAATAGAATGCTAATCGACACAGAGGAATATGTGAAGGCCAATGCACAAAATACAGTGTGATCCTTTCACAGAATAAAAAAAAATATCAACCTGAGTGATGAGTGGAGTGCTGAAAGAAACAGAGAGAGTGACCAGAAATCACATCTGAATAAAAGAGCCAGGAGCTACATTATTCAAGCACTGTGTCCTATATATAAAGACCTTTATCCTGAAGGTGGTGGAGAGCCACTAAGGGATTAATATAGCTCAAAGTGGGAATATTAGCACCTGCTTAGCAATTCATTC